AAACAATCAGCACCACCACTAGACACATTAGTGGCCTTTCCCACTATGTGCAGTAATGTCTAGGCATTTAATTTTTTGATACCCAATTTGTAAGTCATCAACCACAATAGGAATTTTGCACTGTATGTCAACTTAACCCTTCAGTAACCAGTCCCTTTATTCAACACATATCTAAGCAACAACAGGTTTAATCGATCAACATTTTTTTTGATTTTAGATGAATTTCATCCTGTTCTTACCATGAACATCATTCAACTTCCAAGCTCTGTAGAGTGCCTGTGATAAAGCAGACATTCAACCATTAAATCTTTACCTTTATAACAAAATATTCACTGGATAGTAACATGGATAGATTTTACAAGGTCCTTGTAATGTCCAGTGCAATACAACTGACTCCTTCGTAAACAATTTATCAATGAAACCTGACCTTCTCTGTCTGGCTGCATGACCAGAAGTACCCTGCCAAAATAATGAACTATAAATAATGTAAACTTGCTGAAAATCTTAATGTAGCAAATTCACAAGATGGAATATGGACTACTAATGACACTCATGTTGATATTACAGAAAATAAAATAATCTATGTATTCCTTAGGCAGTCGTGCACACTCACCCAGTGCAGCCACTTCAGATGCATATCAGGAGGGGTTGTAAGGTCTTAGCTAGCCTAATTTGGAAGGGATAGAGATACTTGCATTCATGTTTCTATATACATCACAAGACCAGGGTTAGCACTAAAGGTACTGTCCTGAGTGAAGCAACCTTGCCCCACGCATTTGATCATAAAAAGATGCAGTTTTATATATACATATATATATGTATGTATATTCATACATATATATATATATATATATATATATATATATATATATATATATATATATATATATATATATATATATATATATATATATACATACATACATACTATGTATATGTATGTATGTATGTATATATATATATATATATATATATATATATATATATATATATATATATATATATTATATATATATATATATATATATATATATATGTATGTATGTATATATACATATACATATATATGTATAAATATGTATATATATCCATACACTATATATAAATTTATACATTATATATATATATACATATATATACATATATATGTTAGTGTACTTTTTGATGAGATTATTACCAATTTAATCAGAATTATTGTTTTCAAATGGGACCATCCTCTATAAGGGTGTCTTTTTCTTGTTTTTTTGTTTGTTTTTTGTTTTCTTTTGATATGAAAGTAGAGATTCCTGTCTGAATCATTTAATAAATCCATTAAACCAACTAATCTAAACTAGAAATTACTAATAATCTTTTATATTTTTTTTTTACTATTATTTTTATTTTTATTTTTTACAAAATCAAAATGTGAAGACTGGGTAGGGGGTGGGGGGGTGGGGGGGTCGAGAAGGTTGACATGTACATAAACACACATGCATGAATTAACAATTTTAATCATCCTCATTTAATTGGACTGAACCCCCTTTTTTACATAAAAAAAATTATAGGCACCCCAGACAAAATCATTTTCTTTAATTGATATTTCTGAAAAAGGTCCATTGAGGATGGTAAACCAGTACAATGATGGCGTTCAGTCATTTGAGCACATTATCTTTGCAAAACGTGAATAAACTGACCCAACACCTGGTAGCTTGTGTACTTGTGGTGTGCAATGTCATTATTAAATGCCATATGCAAGATTTCAACAAGCATCCCCAGAAACAACCTGGTTTTGGCTCAAATAGCTGTTTGGTCAGTTTCCTCACAACATAGGCTAGCTACCTCAATTTTTACACTTGTACACCCCCCCACCCCCACCTTCTGGGATGATCCCTTTAAAAAATTCACCCAATAACCCCTTCTCTCAGTACCTTTCTTAACACTACAATCATGGAATTAGAAAATGACTAGTGGCCACTGATGCTCATTTGATATTTCAACATTGGGCATTTATCGGTTGTGGCTGGAGCTTGCTATGAGCTTGCATAAATTGAATATTTCCCTTCACTTTCAATCCCTGTAAATCATAGTGGCAACAAACAAATGTCCCTACAGTTGGAGAAAGATAAGCTCCCTTTGATGACCCGATGATGCAGGGAGTGTCAGTGTGTCATTATGAGGTGCCAATCATAACCATTGCATGCTTTCAATGCCACTTGTGTTGAACTGATTAAGACTGATATCTTCAAACCATTGTAATTTTTCCTTATTTAAAACATCTTATTATCCTTTCGATGAATGAGGCTTAAGGGTTGCAAAAAAGAAACAAAAGAAATAAAGAGTAAACTAATAAAATAAAATAAATAAAAATAAGAAGAAACAATTTTTTTTGGTAACCTAAAAATTACTATTTCCCTGTATTTAATTTTAACCCAATAGTGATGGGGATCCCACTGGTGTGATGCCTGGAAAATGGACCATGGCCACACGTCTAATATGTGGTACACTTGTTCCTAGCCATCTGCCAGGTGTCTCACCCATGAGGTATTATATATAATGGACCTCAGTGACATATGTTATGTCTACATGGATAGTTCCATAACTATTTCTAAGACTATTTCTTATTGCACAAGTAATCACTAGTTATGTCATGAGGTCATATGGAGAGGATGTGAAGTTACAACTTCAATTTACCTGGGTTTTGAAGTTGTATAAGGATGGAGGGAGTAGGAGAGTTATGAGAAAGAGAAAGAGAAAGAGAGAGAGAGAGAGAGAGAGAGAGAGAGAGAGAGAGAGAGAGAGAGAGAGAGAGAGAGAGAGAGAGAGAGAGAGAGAGAGTAAATATCTCTTGCAATGAGCATTCAGAATGTATTACTTGTTTTTCTTTTCCACTCCTACAGGTATGCGTTCACACCCTCCTGCTACCTCCCCTCACATGTCGAAGTGAATGTCCACATCCAGACAGGAGGTCATGACATACATTGGTATCCACGTGGAATGGGATAGTGAAACTCCCCAATTACCGTGACTACTGGTCGACCAACTTCATCCTGCGTCACAAACTCATTATGACATGCTTCATCCATGAAAGCAGTTCTGCTTTTGTGGTATGAACAGCCCGGCTGAAAAGGAAGTTCATGCCCAAGGACCTCAGTGAGAAGAGGAAGGGTGATGTCGATTACAGCAGCAGCAAGACAGCAATGCTGTCCTTGATGTGGAAGGACTACAGCAAGGTCACCATGCTGTCAACAGTCCATGCTGCTGTAATGGATGGGGATAAACCATTGGGAGACCACATTGGAGTGAGGTGTGCTCTCCACAATCGATGTCATCACATCGTTTCAGAGATCCCTGGCAGCAGGAGGAGGCAAGGTCAGGTTTGCTCCAGACAGGGTCAATGTCACAGCAGCATAAGTTACTGCGCTGATCGTGACATCGGACTATGCACCTATGGGTGCTTTGAGGCAAAGCATGCTGTCATGTAATGCTGCACACACAAAAACACAATATGTTGGCAAATATGTTAGGGAGAGTAACACACATGGCATTATAAGTCTATACTAAAAGTTCCAAAAAACATTGCAACAAATGTTGAGATTACATTTTAGCTTTATGAGCACACAAAACATGTTTGGTTCTCAAAAGCATTAACTTCAATATAATCCCATGGATATAAATGGGGGATAAAACTGGAGCTTATGCTCTGATTTGGTTGCCAGCAGGGGTCCCCAGCAGCGGCCACTTGCCACTATCAGCAGTGGTGAGTCTATCAGTAGGCCCTAGTGACCGATCCTGATTTCCCAATTCTTTGAACTGGCAGGAAAATGTGTTTTTTCTTTTTAACACAGTTAACATCGATACTGCTATTATTGTTATTGATGATATGAATATTAAAATGTTATTAAAATTTCGATAACATTTAACCCATTCACGCCGGGTGTCACGTATATGGGACGGGCCCACTGTGAGTTTACTTGTTTAATTGTTTTCACACATAGATAGCTGCACTTGTACTTGTACTGCCTGTCTCGCCTGTTTACCCTTTTCTTTAATTTACGAAAATATTATACGTTATCTTATTTTGCTGTTACTAACATTATAGTAATTATAATGTTTATAATAAAAATAACCATCGATATTCACTGTAAAAGTAAAAATACATTTTCCCGCCAAATGAAATCAGGTAAGGCAGAGCCATCTAGTGTAGAAAAATTTCACAAAAAGTATAAAAATTGAGCACGGCATTTTCCCCCATTTTTTGTTCATTTTTACCCGGCGCGAATGGGTTAAGATAATGTAAAAATATAAACGACCCTTTCCAAAAGTTGATGAAAAGAGTATACAGGTAAGATAGGTTGGACTAACAACTGACTTCTTGGTGACATAGCACTTGTAGAGCCATCTATGTATAAATACAATAAATAAACTTGTATTACATTAGGCATGACATGTATTCTTGCCATACATGCTAATTGGGTTAACATTTAATTTTTCATAGCATAACCTGCACCACCGGTCAGAGCAGCCAGGAATAGGACGCTGGGCATGGAAATGGTGTCCTTCCTGGAGCTGGCACTCTTCCACTCATGGCTCACAAGCATTACATTCCACTCATACATCGATGGGAATAATGCAAAAGTCCATTTCTAAACGTTAAATAAATCTAATAACCCTCCAAGAGGTTTGTGCACTAGTGGTGAGTCTTCCCTGTCACCCTGGCCTTCAGCTGAAATGCTCATGACAGCAAGTTCATGTCCCCCCAGCCCACGGCCAGATTTTCCCATGACAGCATATTTGTGTCATCTATCCTTCCAGCAAAATTTTTTCATGATGTGATAGTCATGTCATCCAGATCGTAGGGTTAAAAGCTAACACTAACATGGTATTTTGTCTTTTGTATCAGTTACTGCCAAAAGCATGTATGTATATGTATGTATGTATGTCATATATTATATAAATATATATATATATATATATATATATATATATATATATATATATATATATATATATATATATATATATATATAATCTAAACTGTGGAGTACTTGTGAAATAACTGGGGAAAAAAGTTTCTGAAAACTTAATTTTGTTTGATGTCTGATATGACATTCCAAAGTTTAAGAATTTCACAAAAATGTTTCCTGTTCATTTCACTCTGGAAGATTATGCTATGGTAATGTAAAACAAAAATTGAGGCACTACTATATGCTACAAGTAATTAATGCAGCAAGTAATAAGCAGAGGCAATCATAAAACTATTGAATTATAAATGGAAACAATATCTTCATGGGAGCTAATAAGCTACTTTGAGGCATAGGACAAACAAACAAGCATCAGATCTAAGTAGCACAGATTAAAATTCATAAGGTTTATATAAATATGCATATTTCCTAACCTAAAATGTCCTTCTCATTATGGTACAAGGCTACTTTAACCCACTCATAACAGGATCACCATACCACTGCAGTAAGCCTCTCCAGTAAGAAACTAGAAACAACTAGAAGCATCGAAAACCCATGTTTACCTTGATCTCTACACTTTTGGCTGCAGCATAAAAAGAGGCTTTAAGTCTACATTTGAGAGACTTTCTCTCCTATGTGATATATTACTTGGTTTAAGTTCAAGCAAGAGCTCTCTGAGTGGCTCATGCTAGGGCCATCAAGGGGGACTGCCCAGGACCAAACAAATAAACAAATGCTTAACTTTGTGCAAGCTCAACTGCATGATGTGACAGGATGCAATCCCAGATGGATTGACAGTCTAGCCACAATGTAACTGGACCTCTTCCATCATGAGTGGGTTAAAATTACAATACTGAAAAACTATCAAACTTCAATGTAAATTCATTATCTTCACATTCCATATACTTGATTCAATTACACCTACACATTTTGGAGCTAACAGCCCAAAATCTAATGGACACTTATGACATGCAATCAAACTGCAGAAAATAAGTGACAATCCCTTAGCAAAATAATATTATCTAAAAGGAAAGAGCAAAGTTTGAACCTCACTCCTTGACACATTTCAAAGCATTCATACACACACACAAGGTAGAGTTACAAACCTGTTTAAACACTTTTCATCAGATCCACAGGGATTTTCAGAGTCAGGATCACAATCACACCGGTTGACGGCTGCAAGGTCTACTTTGCTCAGACGTACATTACCAACAGGACGATTGGAATCAATTCTGACATAAGGAGGAGGTTTCTGTTGGGGCAGGGAAGGTGGGTTAGTTTTCTTTCATTTACAATTACTTTGGTTTTGGATATGCATTGCTGACTATGTAAAGAAGTTTTAATTCTAATGAAAGGAACAATAATTTTCTGAATTATCAATTCTATAATAAATATTATGAAAGACAATAGATGAACACATTTGTCAGAAAATAACTTGATTCTTGAATGACCTAATGAGAGGTGAATTTCTTTCAAAATCAGCCCAAAGAACTACACCAATGTCCTCCTTATTGTAAAATGAAAATTCATGTAAAGAGAAGGTCCTTGGCACATACAAGAATGTACTTCTGAGGAGTTTTTGCATTATAATGATAGCCGTCATACTCCAGTAATTTTTTCATCAGAATAAGGATTGTCATGTTCAGTAATTCCATTTGTTTTTATAAAATAAATATCAAACTTATACCAAATTCTACAAATAGGAGTAAGATGCCAATTAGACAATTTACTCTGAAGATCCTTGTTCATATATCAATGGGTTTACCTTGTAGTTGTATGTCAATGCCATATATTCACATCAAAGCAGTTAGTTAGTGTGACATATTACTTACAAATTATTATCCAAAATGAAACAGGAAGATTGCATCGTGTTAAGCAACCAGGGATTTAAAAGTATTGAGGTAAGGACTTAGACCTTACAAAAACCACATATGTTACATACCAAGTTGCCCTTTTCAGAGCGATGTGCTTCCTGTTGTGCTTTCCTGATTTTCTGAGCACGATAAGCTTCAACAGCCTCTTCAAGGGCTCTCTGGAACTGTTTCTCTAGTGTTTTACTGGATGCTGCCTTTGATCCCTTATCCTAAATGAGACAGGAATGGTAACTGAGATAATGTTCTACCGGCCCAAACTGTTAAAAATCAGAACACATACAAAGAATAGATTCTTTCAAACCCGTGCGTCAAAGAACTAGAAGACTAAACACTATGCCCTCATCCATAGTACTCACCCCTTCCTGGTAATGGAACGCTCGACCTTTGGTGACCCAATAGTAGTCATTGGACCCAAAAAAGTGAACACAAAACATGCCCTGCTGATGAGGAAGGTTTTCAATGTTGTCTGGAATGAATCTAGGGTGTAGCACTTGGCCTGGCCACCATCTGAAATGAAAATTCTTTTAGGTACTGAACATGAAATAGATTAACCCCTTGGATCCGGATGTTTCAATGCCTGCACATGGGCATTAGGCTTACTTGAGCAGCCACTCTGTCAGGTATGCAGCTTATAGACTGGGAGCACATGAACACTTGTCTGCAGTGACAAGACTCTGGGTCTCTCCTTTTCAAAGTTATTTTCTCTTTTTCTGTGTAAGTATCTTTAGCTTTATTGCCATTTTCTAATACCTATATTTGTCATTTGATCTGCTTTATCCAGATGGTAATACTGTTAAACTTGTAGAGACTCCATATCATCTCTCTAGGTAGTCCATAGCTCAGTGCAATAACAATAATTAACTTTTTATTATTACTATTTTTTTTTTGTGATGTTTAATTTATTGATGAAAACAATGCAAGAGTCCCTTCCTAAATGCTCAAATGATTCCAATCACCCTACAAGAGCTTTGTGCATTTGTGGCCTTAAGCCGAAATTCTCATGATGGCAAGTTCCTGTCACCTCAGGAAACTTATCCCTCAGCCAAATTTTCCCGAGATGGATGTTCACGTCACCTGCCCCTCAAACCAAATACTTTCATGGAGCGATAGGCACGTCATCCGGATCGTAGGAGTTAATTACCAGATAGGAATAAAAAAAAAAATAAAGGCTACTGTTACTTTTCCCCTCCCTTTAATCAATGTATAAACTAAACTTTAAAATAGAGAACAAATGAAAGTCTTCTCACCTGTATATTCCTAATTTCACCCAAACAATATCACCATAAACAGGGACCTTTCCGTTCTCACAATCCTCGCATACATATCCACCCTCTGGAGCAGTTATCTTTATGCAGTCCGCATGGAAGGCAGCTGGGCATTGGTCACACAGCAGCAATGAACCACCCTAGCAAAAGCAAATTATAGATTTTCTTTTTTAATACAGATTTTGGTTACAATAAAAAAAGAAAACTGAGGTCAGATATTTCCCATATCTATGATAATACAAAAACTACACAATTAGCAACATATCTTATTCCAAAGAAGGTAATTTAATTAAATATCAAATATCATGAAAAGGATTCTATGAATATCAGCTTTCTAAAACCCTAGACCTCAACTTTTTTCTTTCTTTCTTTTTACCAGAAAATAATATTTGAGTATCAAAATAAATTTGTATAAATAAATAAAAATAATAAAATAAATAAATAAATAAATGCAATAATAAAGATTTCACTATTTGCTAACCTTAGAACAACAGAAGCACCAATTCACATTAACATGATGTGCTGTATTCTTGGGTAAGATGAGGTGTTTTGTACAAATGTGATGTTGCTGGGAGATCTCCTCTGTGCCAGCTGCAATGCATTCTTCACCTGGCAGGCAACAAAGGATGAACAGTTTTAGATTTGAGTGCAAATAAAGCAGGTCGAACAGATTTACATTGTCACATTACAAGGAAAATACTACCCACCAAACATTAAAAACAATCATATTATATACTTGTAATAACTAACCTGTGTGATAGGTTGTAGGGCACCTTAGACAGCGAGTGAAGGGTGGTGTTCTTGCTACAGGGTCACCCATGTCATCTGCATTTGGCAGCACACATGTGACATACATGGCCGTTGGACACACAAACCTCTGTAACAGTTCAATACGCTTTATTACTTCCTACATAAGGAAGAAAGGCCAAAGCACCTTAGACAGCGAGTGAAGGGTGGTGTTCTTGCTACAGGGTCACCCATGTCATCTGCATTGGCAGCACACATGTGACATACATGGCGTGGACACACAAACCTCTGTAACAGTTAATAAGCTTTATTACTTCCTACATAAGAAAGAAAGACAAAGAAATATTAATAACAATAAAAAGTCTAAATAAATAAACTAAAAATCTATTGACTGCTTATTCCAATCTAATGTTAGTGGAATATAAATACTAAGAATATTGAAAAGAAGTGAATACTCTCAAAAGGTTATCAAAATTTGATGATGAAATCAAAGGAGACTATTGGCTATGTATATCTATGTGCAAATGTCATAATAATTCTTATCTACATAGGTAAAATGTGACGAAATGTTAGTTACATGAAAGTTCCATTTGACTTTCGGTAACTTCCCCTTCCCCTCTCCCTCCCTCACCCCTTGAAGCTCTAGCCAGGTTGTCCAAGATGGGATATAATCCAACAGAGTTGCTTTTCTCTGTAGGGACTATTGTCCACCAAATACTATCCATTACAGGAAGGAGCAAAAACTAACAACAGTAGTTCTTTTACTGGATAAACATGAACAAGAAATTAAAGCAAAGCTGGAAAATAAAGACAAAATGAAAGGCAAAATGAAACCAAAGTGTCCTTTCAGACTCCTCGACCTCCACAGATGACCCTGAGCCAGTGACAACTAGAGCCAGACAATTCAAAGGAAGACGTTCAAAGTGACGGAGATGAGCATGAAGCAGCCCTAAGCTGTATTCCTACCGTGAAAATCATTTCCCCATACTCCAAATTTAGCATGGAAAGAACCAAAACAAAAAGGTATAATACTAATTTCTTTTGCAAAGGTAGAGACTCTGCAAGGAGAAATGTAAAAATTCAATGAAAGATGCAATGAATGCTATAAAAAAAATAGTGCTATTTAGTTCACACAAATAAAATGTGTAGGAAAGATATATGCTTAATATTTTGC